TATCATTATCATTGTTATTATCAATACCATTATTGTTACTACATTATTTATTTATCATTATTATTATTATCATAATTACCATCATTATTACTGAAATACTGTTGTTATTATCATCATTATTATTTTTTTATTACTATTATTGTGATAATTATTGTTATTACCATTACTATTCTCGTTATCTCTATAATCAATATTGTTAATATCAATATTATTATCATCACTATTATTATCTTGTTATTATAATTATTGTTATTATTATTATTATTACTACTACTACTATCATTATTATAACTATTGTTATTATTATTGTTGCTGTTATTATTAATAATATTATTTTTTATTATCTTTTTATAATAATCATTATTGTTATCATTTTTATTGTTATTATAAATGCCATTGTTATTACTATATATAATTACCAAATCAATATCATCATTGCTATTATAATAGTTATTATCATTATTATCAACACTGTTATTATAATATCATTATCATTATAATCAATATCATTATTGTTGTTATTACCATTATCATCATCATTATCATCATCATCATCATCATCATTATCATTATAATCATCATTATCATCATCATCATCATCATCATCATCATCATCATCATCACCATCCTCATCCTCATCCTCATCCTCATCATCACCATCATCATTATTATTATTATCATCATTATCAAAATGATTGTAACATTATCATTATCATTATTATTTTAACTATTATTATTAATGATAACTCAGATAGCAATGGTAATGTTCACAGTAATATTTACATGAATAATGTAAGTATTATCACAATAACGATAAGGATAATGATAATAACAATGTTATTAATAAAAAATAGAGATAATGATATTGATAATACCAAGGGTAACTATGGCTATGATAACTAAACAATATGAATAATGATATGATTATTAAAACAATATGAATAATAATGATATAATAAAGATAATGAAATAAATATTGACAAAGAATAATGAAATAAATAATGACAAAGAATAATGAAATGAATAATGACAAAGAATGATATAAATAATGACAAAGAATAATGAAGAGAATAACAATAATGATAATTATAAAATAATGATAATAATAAAGAGCGAGAAAACGGGAGTGAGAGAGAGACAGAGAGGGAGAGATGGGAAAATGTTAGAGACAGCAGATAGATGAATAAATTAAGTGAGCGAGAGAAGGATAAAGAAGGAGAGAGAGAAAGGGGGAGGGTGGGAGTCTTCATACCACTATTGGTGACCTTACAGCCATGGGAATTCATACACTGCATATGTGGAAACCTTCCTGAGTAGGTTAGTCCCTGGAAATTATCTCCAAATATGTGTTTACACAAAATGGCATCGAAGTAACATCAAGCGCGGGACCATTGTTGGTGTCGCAACCTGCGTCAATAAGAGTCTATCTATTTCCCTAATAGGCATCATTCTCTCTGATCACTTAGAGGTGATGTTCAAGGTTTGGACCCGGTACCAAAACAAAATCTTGCTAAATAGCTATCGTCCACAGTAGCAAGGAAATGATCCCAGTGAATTTCTACTGGCCCCATTTAGAGGTTTCTATCGCAGGTGACATGAATCAACACCTCAGTGCAAGATCTTTTGAAGAGCTACTACATTATTTGTCTTCTTTCCCACACATTTCAGGCTCTTCCTTCGATCCTGTTGTCAGTGGTCTATCAGAAACTCATAACCTGCCGCCTCCTTACCACCAAAACACTATGTAACATGTCATTGCTACACGCAACCAGTCATGATTTACTTACCACGGCAGAGCGGCAGCTGATGAAAAGGGTCTTGTTTGGAGGCGCTACATAAAACACCCGTCTTCAACCAACAAGTAGCTCTACCGACAAAGTTGTGCAGTTATGAGCTAGGTACAGAGGCGGGCTCAGCAACGGTGGCGAGCAAAAAGTAAGCTCAGTGGCCAGTCAGTGGGGAGCAAGTCTTGCTGGAACACCCTTAAAGAGCAACAGGGCTTTATTCCTGATGACAGCATACTGCCACTGCAAAACCCGATGGCACAGTAACAATCCAGAGCAAAGATAAAACTCAGGTGCTTGCAGTGTTCTTCTTAAGCAAAATGACAGTATCTAATTCCATGTGCATGTACATCTCAACTGGTTGCACCTCTTTCCAGTATTTTCAAGAGATGTGTCATCTCACTGGAAGATAGCAAGGGTGGTGGACATTTACAACCAATCCCAAGAACTACAGATCATAACCCTCCTCGCATTTTCTGGTAAGATCGCCACAAAAAAAAAGGAAAAAAAGGGGCACAACACCTTTGACCAAGGAAAGGAAACCTATGAAATAGCTCTAGACATTGCTGTGGCATATAGCAAGATGTGAGAACTCGGCCCCGCCGCCAAACTCAGCAGTGTGAGAGCGCGTGGCGACCTTATCCTCCTTATGGAAGACTACCTGAGAGGTAGATTCCTCAAAGCAACAGTGAACGGTTGCCATCGGAAGAAATCCCGATAAGCGCCAGTGTTTCACAGGATTGTTTTCATCGGCTCCTGATGCATGTGCCTTGTCCTAGAGGCACATGCCTATGCTGATAATTGCACCCTTACCTGTGGCAAAGGTGATCATGTTGCAACTGTCGCATGCATGAATCAACTACTTAAAATCATCTTCGCACGTGGCAAGATTATTTAGCCCCAAATAAAACAAAACTAATGCTTATATCTCGACGTCAACACACCCTTGATACACTTACACAGTTTTGAACTGTCGCTTCAGTCATCCATCACCATCCTGGGTGTAAAAGCTAATGCTACCCTGGCTTTCACTAATCACTGTGTGCGGCGCATCTCTCATCTCTGCTCTGTCAAGGAATATGAAATTATCGCATCGGTGGCACCTCAGCCTCTTAGACATGTTACATAACAGAACTTAGGTGATGATTCGCTAGAAAACCAGACAAAACCAATCGCTTTCTCGCTTGAAACCCTTACAGTAATGACGTGATGTGGCGAGTCTACGTTTACATACAAAGACATTTTTGCGTTCATTCCTACTAAAATACACAAGAATGTGGAACTGCTTGGTGTAGCAAATACAGCTACACCGTACCACAGCACTTCAAAACCGCACTAAATAGCTGGTTGATGAATGTGTGTATATATATATATATATATATATATATATATATATATATATATATATATATATATATATATATATATATATATATATCTGTATTATATTTTTGCTCATTTTGCTCACATTTTGGTGTAATTATTGAGATTATTGTTGTTTAGATTTAGAGAACCTCTTTAATCAATGTCTTTCTGTTGTCTAATGCACGCTATCTTTGGTTCATCATTTTGGTTCATCCTTATCTCTATCATCTCTGATGATAGTGATAAGATTAATCTCGGAAGCGTTTGCAAATAAACATGAAATTATTCACGGTCGTATTAGTCTACCTCTTCGTTTTGACTGTTCGACGCCTATGTGGAAAACCTATAACGACTTATACACACACACACACACACACAAGCACACACACACACACACACACATATATATATACATATATATATATATATATATATATATATATATATATATATATATATATATATATATATATATGTATATATATATGTATTTATGTATGAATATATTTTTTGGTAAATTATAATTTTTCTTGTTCAGAAGATTTGTTGGAAGAGAATGAGACAAACAGAATAGAAATATCAGAGAGAGAAGGAGAAAAAAAGATACAAATAGAGAGAAGGAAAAAAGAGAGGGAGGAGAGAGTGAGGTGGGGGGGGGGCAGAAGCTATGACAGGCAGAGAGTTAAAAGTGAGTGAAAGATAGAGGGGAGAGACGGTACAGTAACAGACAGAGAGTAATAAGAGAGAGAGAGAGAGAAGTGAAATCCATGATTTCTCGAGTTCATTTCTTTAATATAACAGACATAAAACTACAACGGTTCACATGAAATCTGTGAATGACCTACGTTTATACACTGGCTTGAAAAGTTTTAGTAATGTAAGGGTCATTATATGAGCTATAACTGTTCATGTAAAAGTTCTGTGCAGTTTCTCACAAAACATTTTGGGTATGGCTTGGGTATGAGACTATAGTCTTTATTTAGTACTAGATAATGATATCATAAGTACTTCTTCGTTATTATCATTGTTTCATATTGAATTGTGAAATTGTAGGCCCTACCAAGTTGATTAGTTTGACAAGATAACAAACCAACAGCTAATCAGAAGAGCTTATGATATCAAACCAACGAGTAGGGAGTAGGGGGGAGGAGGGCAAAACCCCCGCCCGGATTGGAGAATAATATATAGACAATGTGTGCTGCTATGTTGATTAAAGTTTTGTGCAATATAGATATTCCTAATTCATAAGTAATTAAATTTCATTTCATTCATTAAATTTCAAGTCATTAAAAGTCAGTTTATCTAAGAAAAACAGGAGATAAATAGGTTTATGAAATCACCCAATCTGCAGAGTGGTGTAATTTATTTGTCAAAATTCCTTAAAGGTAAAACTTAAACTTAAACTTAGCATCTACCTATTGATTAATCATCATCATTTCATTATTGCTATAATTGTTATTGCTTATTATTGTTATGCAACTACTACGCTAACTATAATATCGTATACAACTGTATCGGTCAATACATCAAATTACTTTCCAGTATTTAGTATAAATTACTGTACTCCTTAAGTAACATCAGGCTAATTTGAAGTTCCCAAACACTAAAGATCTTACTTCTAGCCGCCCAGATGCTGCTTTTGTCTGCCAGTGAAACAGCCATGTTCTGGAGAGCAAGCCCGCAAGTGCTGTTGGGGTCCACCCTCGTCGGGAGGTAGAAATCCCAAATCTGAGAAGCAGCTCGCGACAACCATCTCTTCTGAAGAACTAAATAGAAAGTTGTTAGAAGACAATATATACTTATATATGTGTATATGTACATATATATATGATTCTATAATGTATGAATATT